AAAGTCTTTAGAATTAATGGTAAATACGTTTTAAAGGATAGAGCTTATTATAATAAATTAAAGCAAAAAAGGAAGGAAATGAAACATCACCAAAAAACAATTAATTTCATAAACAGCCATCTTCCAGAAGCTTATTGGATTAAATCTGATGATAATAATAATAATAATCAAATAAATATATTATAGTGTTTTAAATTTTTCATCCGTAAATAAAATTAATATAATAAAAATGATGGTGTAGTTGATTTGAAATTTAGGGTGGATGGTTTTTGTCATAAATTTTTATCCCCAAAAAAATAATTTAATTTAAAATTTCAAATAAATAATTGATAATGGGAAAGAAAAAAGGTGGTGGTGGTGGTGAACCATCATCACGTCAAATACAACATCGTGAACTTTATCAACGTATGAATTTTCTATATCAGGCAGCAACACTTATGACCGCTACATCAACTTCCAATAATTCTTCAATAGTTTCAAATGATAATAATAAATTGGCATCGGTTGGTAGATTTTATATTAATACAATGAAAACTATTGGTAAAAAACAAGTTATAAGAATGGATCCATCTGTAAAAAGAACATTATGTAAAAAGTGTGAAACCTTACTTTTGCCAAGTATCACTTCACATGTAAGAATTAAATGTAAGTGACATTTTAAATTTTTTTTGGGAGTGAGAGAATATATTCTTTAGATTAATATTTAAAGCAATCTTTTAAATAAGCTTGTCCAGAACCAGGACTACAGATAACATGTAAATATTGTAATGCCAAGAAAAAATTCCCAACACATAAAGACCTCAAATTAGATTCAGAAAAGCCTGAAAATATTATTGAAACAGCAACTAAAAAGGACAATGAATAAAGGTAATTTATGAAGCAATAAAACCTCCCACAATAATGGAAAATAATTATATTTGTTTATTTATATATTTATATTATTTAGATACAAACTTTTAAAAAAAATTTTAAAATTAGTCAACTTTTAAATTCTATACTTCATTCCAAGAAATAATTGCCATCATCATAACACCAATAAACATTGTAGAAAATTCTTTTAAAGATTGCTTAAGATCTTTTGTAAAATTTCCAGAGACATTTAATAATTCAGGTATAACACCAACAGTAGCAATATATAGAAATCCACCAGCAGTAAAAGGTATAACCAAATCACCTATTAATACACCTGTGCCAAAAATACCAAAACTATTATCATCATCATCAAGATTGTTGCTTTGATGATGTTCTTGCTGCTGTTTACTATATTCTTCTATTATTATTCCAGTTAATGTACCAAGAAATGCACCAATTGCAGTGATAAATTGGGAAAACATTGCACGTTTTTTGGTGAAACCACTTTGTATTAATATTGCATAATCACCTATTTCATGTGGTATTTCATGGAAAAATACAGCAACTGTTGTAGTAGCTCCAATGCTTGGTGACGTATAAAATGATGCTGCCATTGCAAGTCCATCAGTAAAGTTGTGAGTTGCATCTGCTATAAGATTTAGATAAGCTGATAATTTAATGCTTGTAGATTTGTTTTTCGCAACAATATCATCATTACTATTATTATCATTAACTACTTTTTCTAATTTATTTACATTTCTTTGACGTAAAGAAATTTCATCTTGATTATTATTATCAAATGCTGTAGTTGAAGAAGATATTTTTTCATCCAGACCTGAATTTTTCTCTTCTTTATGATTATGATGATGATGGTGATGATGGTTCCCTGAATTACTTTCCAAATTATCATCACCACCATTTAACACACGCATTGATTTGTCGATTATAAAAAATGCAACAAATCCAATGAATATTGCTAAACCAATTATGATATTTTTTTGTTCATCAACTTTAACAAAATGTACTTGATCATCATTATCTTCACCCAAGAATGAATGAGGAATTAAATGTAAAAATACATC